ATAAGAACATTAATATTGTTGGTAACAATGGCAACGCTGATGCGACGACGACGCTGATGCGACGACGACGACGACGACGACGACGACGACGACGGCTACCGTGATTCTGAATTTAATATAAATTTCCATTAAAAAGTTCGCACTTTTTCATTTATAACTTCATTTCTAAACGTACTATTTAAGATTTTGATGATTTTTACCAAAGCACGTTATACACAATATTTCTGATGTTTTGGAGTTTACTAGGAGTTAATTGATGCATAAGAAAATAGTTATGTCGTATAACAAATTTACCTGTATTTTACACAGTTTAAATAGGCACTCCTGCTTCGATATACTATACACACACCTTCGTGCAGTTATTATTTTTTTTTTTACTTAGCTCGCGCCACGACCGTGTCGGTGGATATAAATAATAATAGTCTTTAGAAAAATTAACGCTCTATTTTGTATTAAGTAAATCTCATATTGTACTTAATTGTACTTTATTGTTATTATTTGTATTTAAATTGAATGTCTAATTTAAGAGCCTCTCACCCAAGCTTTTGCTTATAGGAGATGAGCAGACTTACTACTGTATTTATAATTTACAATAGGTATGTTGGGAATTGTTTGCAAATAAAATAAAATTGTTATTATTAACGCGCTTGAAATTCTAATGCTGCGGGCCGACGAGAACGATAAAAATACTAGCTGGCTAGTAACACACGCCGTCGTCTGGGAAATTTTCTCGGAGATCGGTCTATGTGTTGAACGATTTGTATTTAGCTCATTCTCAATTAAATCCAAACGCAAATATTATCTTCTTTCAAAAAATAAATTATGGCAACAAACTTTAACAACATCGACCGAGCCGCAAAAACATAATATTACTGGAAATGGTGGAAGAAATTTTGGTCAACAAGATGGAACTCGCTTTGGCCGATGAAACCGACGAATATCTCGTTGTCGTTCTTGTAGTCACTCCACTTCTGCCTGCCATTGTTACGGTCGCCACTACAGCGACGTTCAGACCCTGGAGTTGGAGCCCGAAGGCTCGACTCTCGGAGGCGCAGACGGAGAGGAGTTGGCTGAAGACGTCGAGGAGACCGTCTCCCCGCACTGTGGCGGAGTGCCGAGCGGCGACGCGCTGTCGTCTGCTGCAGAGTCGGAGCTCGGTCCGATCCCAGAGACAGCACCGCTCGGCGACGACGACGACACAGTAAGAGAAGACGGAAATTCGAAGGTTTCTGAAGCGAAAGTGGAGGACGATTCCGTTTTGTGTCCAAAAGACGATGTATCGGATGAAAAAATCGAGACCGCCACAGGAGAAGACCCCCCCTGGGCGAAGACGACGGACAGGAGATGACGGCGACGGAATGGAGGGGAGGATGCGGGAAAGAGCACGGACGGTGCGCAGCGGTAAGTCACCCGCGCACGTTCTCTGACCTGCACCCGCGGCGCGACAGGTTCGCTGGCGTCGCGCGCTCGGTCGTTGATGAAGCGCGAGACCCTCTGGCGGCTCGGCGAGCGCCGGACCGCAGTTACGGTCACGTGATGCGATGGCGGCGGTGGACGGCGACGGTGGACGGCGGCTAGTAGACGTACCGGCGTGGGCAACGATTCCGACCCGACGGTACACCGACTCTTTACGACGGCGGCGGTGACTCGGTAAGACGGCACCGGCGGAGACCTCGGCACGGGGTGAGTGGTACGGAGATTCGAGTGCTAGGAACACGGGGACGTCAGCGGCGCCGGGCTCGCAGAAACTTAACCGTTTCAGGGTCTGGAGGCGCGCGGCGGCCGAAGGGACAACGCCAGGGCGAAAATTACCGAAAGTCAAGGATCGCGCTGTGGTCCGCTGGCTCTCGCATTTTCGCCCAGCGGTAATCCCAAATCGGCCGCTTCGATCGTCCCCACCGGATCCGCAGCACAGAATCTCATTTCGCTGGCTTCACGTCTTGGTCTTCGTCGTCCGTCGTCACGAGTCGTCACGCCGTCGACCGTCGAAGCGCACCACATCGCGCACTAGTCGCCGTCAACCGTGGTCGCTCCCGTGGCCGTCTCGGTCTGGCCTCGCCGGCTGGGCAAGGTCGTCAAGCGTCCGAGCAAACGCGCAAGCGACACTCGTCAACCCGCGGGACAGGTCGGAGAACGTGCAGAGGTGACCAGTGGCCAGCAACACTGCATTTCTGCACCAATCGCCATCTCGCATCCTCCCCCCCTTGTTTATTGTGTCTATCCTGTCCGTCGTATTTTTTTTTTTAAATTTAAGTTATTCAAAATTCAAAATTGTTAAATTGTTCACACATATAAATTTCGATTTTTTTTTCTTATTTGCGGCCCTTTTGTTATAATAAACATTTTTGATGTGAACAAAAAAATATTGTTTCATTTTTTCGTTTTGTAGAGTGTATCAATTGTTACAGATTTAACGACTAAAAAATCGTTAAGATATGTATTTTAAATAAAAAAAACTCGTTGGTCAATTATACTGAGTATAATGGCCTTAGACCTGCAGTATAAACGCTACACGGATATTATAATATGTTCCAAGAAGGCAAGAAATATTTAAGCCATCAAACACTAAATTCGACGAATGACTGCGGAGTAAATCATAAAATCTAGGCAATCTACATACGGACACAGCGAGGTGGGTGATAAAATATAGTTTATAGGTTTAGTATAGCTTTGTAGTTGAACAAATTTTTATACAGTGTACCCATAAAGGCTAAAATGGTATTGAAGTCATAGTTGATCATCCCAGATTTTTAGGAGTATTTAATATTTATGTACTAATATATTTTAGGGGTTATTTTATTTTATTTAAACCGACAAATCGGCGTAATTTTACCTAGATTTGTGCAATAATTCACAAATTTAACTCGCAACCAGAGGCAACCATTAATAATCAAAATAAAAGTTTTAATTTACATCGTGACTCGTGAGTCTTAAGATCTCCAGAAGGGTGTTTTCGAACACCTTTTAAACATGCGAATATCGGAAAATCCTTTCTTATTGCACATCTAGATCATTACAGGAACCACTATGGCACTATTCCAAACATCAAGTTCGTAAGTTTTGTATTTTAAAACCAATGTTATATATTATATTTAAATTATATATTGTTTGATAGATGGCGCCAATGTTGTATTCTTAAAACCCCTTATTTTCTCAAGAATTTCCAATAATCCTTTCTCAGTGGACGCCTACGTACTTACGTCATAATAGCTATTTGTGATCCAAATTTCAGCCAGATCCGCCCAGTGGTTCAGGCTACACTATGATGAATCAGTCAGGATAAGCTATTGCCTATTTTATAAATACCTATAGATTATAATATATAATGTTATAGACACCTATGTCAAAAAAGTGTTAGACAATATGATATTGAAATATAAGTATATTGTTTAAAAATTAAAAATTATAAAATGTACAATATAGTAAAAAAGTGTTATATGTATTTATATTAATTGGTACGGGGCTTTTTTACCATATTTTGATATTGGTGCTTTCTTCCGAATACTTTTATAATCACCCTACCCTAGGTTGGAAACACTAATAAATTCAATATTCAACAAGATCCGGTATTTGCAGAGGTATGATATTTTCGATAGTTACCGTATAATTGTTAAAACCACAGATACCGGTATCAAAATTTGAAATACTGCCAGCCCTATATTATAGGCATTTTATAGTAGGCATATATTATATATTAAACTATTATACTAGCTGATAATATATTAAAGACAAGCTAACCATTGCAATATAACATATTAAAATTGTATGTCCTCGGTTTTTGGGGGGGTTCGGCTAAGTTTGGGGGGCTTAACACCCCAAGCCCCCCCAAATTGCGCCTATGTACACACATACATACACACAAACGTACATTAATTTATATATATATATATATATAGATATACCTACATGATAAAATCATAATAATATAGTATAGTCACAGATTATATTAAACTGTTTTATATAATCTGTGGTAAAATCATGGAGATGTTTCAGTAGCTACTAGTGAATAAAATATTCTGGGGATAATTTAATTAGCTTCTATAATAATTATTAATAATTAAATGTAATAAATTATGACGACATAAAGACGCGTACTACAATACTATGGTGACAACGATGGCACAGCATATATTGTCTACGTCTATAATACTATAGGTAGGTACCATAGATTATATAATAAAACAGTTTAATATAACTTGTGATTTTGCTTCAAATGACGCCCCTGGGCCCTGGCCGTTTGCATTTGAATTTGAATCAACACGTCATGTATACGGTTTACCTGCCTTATTGTCACCCTGACCAAGGGGGATTGATATTCCATCAAGAATATCAATCTTGACCACAGACCTATTAACTAATGGACAGCGCTTAGAGAGAGAGGTCAGGGGTACGATATAGAGTAAAAGAGAAAAGAGTGTTAGTTTCATAGGTCTATGATTAGGTACTACTTGTAATGTTCTTTCTCTCTTTTCTCTCTTCGTTCTTTCTTTTCCTTATATGATTCCCGTTCATTGATGGCATTGCGGAGTGGAGTGCGCTGTCCATTAGTTTATTAGTTTATAGGTCTATGACCTTGACCCTGACCTATACATATTTACCAAGGCGTTCTATGGCAATGCGTATTTTAATTTTTAATATTTTATTGACCACGAAGATCATGTGAGCGGTGACCATAGAGTTACTATGGCCGTGACGGAGATACTGAAAAGTGATAAAACTTATCAACGATTCTTCTCTATACTGATAACAATTTACGGTCGCCCGTCGGGCGTCGGCGTACGAACTAAAATAAATTAGTGTACCTCCATAATATATATTATTTACTGTACAAGAATAAATTGTTGTATAAAACGTCCACAAGATCTAAGTAATATGTATATTATTTAATATTTATCACAGAGCAGGACGTGGTCGCAAAACAGTTGGATTTCAACTCGTATTGTGGAGAACGCTCCTGCGTTTTATTCACTTTAACTTGTGTCGACAACAAATACAGCTCTATGTTTAAGTTACAATACATGAGGTTGCGATCGCGGTACATGCTTTTCTGCTTTATCGCAGTCTTTTCATTTAGCGTTTTGTTCTTAATGTTTCAAAACAGTCTGAGCCGCCCGGCCATCGAGACCTTGGTCACTGAAACGCACAAGCAAATTAACAACTTCAAAAACTTCAAAGTAATCGAACCCATCGCGAGGTCCGGTGAGTGTTCGTTTTCTAAAAATTAGCTTTTCGTTTTCTTTCCAGGACAATTTGAAGGTAGCCGAGCAAAAGGAATTGGTGGTTAATGAAGACTATCTGTACGCATTGGGTTTTGTAGCGAAACCGGCCATTTACCCAGAATCTTGGAAGAACACTACTCTACCCATTGTAGTCACATACGTGTTGGAAGATGAACACAGCCAAGCTATTGGACTCGTGATATGTGTGACCAAGTACTTGCCTGACCGTGCAATACTTGTATACAAACCCTGGGAATACCTGACTACCAACTCAACCTTGTAAGATCACTAATCAATTCCCTAGATTAAATGCGTGTGTGAAAATTAATGCACCAGAAAGTTTGGACCATAACGTTTACATGGTTCATTATCCCGGTGCAGGATAATTTAAAACCAGTCTAGTTTAGTGAATTTGTGGACTTAATGTGCTCTATATATTTTAAATTAAAATTTTTTTGCCTTGTTAACAAAATTAATATATATTTTGTAGATGCAATTATTTTGTAATAACAACACTCGGTGTACAATTATCGATTTTGATCTATCAAAATTTCCATCTCATGTAAGCCGTACACATATCAAAGCTTATCGACCTCTTGTGTTACAGGTATAAACGTAATTTATTATATTTAAGTATGACATCACGGTGTCCAAGAAAAATGTTACTACTTTAAACTGTAACATTTAGGACGCATTGAATCGTGCTGGTGCCGTGATGTTTCTTGATCCAAATGTTCGGATAATATCTCCAAATGTTTCAAAACTTTTCACGCTCTACAGCAACAAATCTATTGTCGGCTGGGAGACAAGAATGGCCACAACAACGCTCACACACCCAAAAATGTTTGATTACTTTCGAACACCTGCAGACAATTTTTTCTTCCTTCCCCTAGTCCTAGTCAACAAACTGATTGTGTACAACACTCTTGACATGCATCAAGACATCATGTTGCCGTGGATTCAATGTGCCCTCATCAGTGAATGCATATCACCCATAGGTATGTGCCAAGAGAAGAGAAATTTGATGGCGTTCGATGCCACTGACAATTTTATGATCATTATTTGATATTTGTTCCACAGGGGCGCAGACTAAAGGGTGTAGATACAACAAGAAACCACAGTACAGATATTCAAGTTGTCATGGGTATGATGTGTCAGCATTCAACATTGTGTTAGGTATACACTATCAGTTCGATAGTACACCTTATGTCATCAAAGAAAATGAAGATGATTTTTTCACTCAAGTTTCCACGAGTGAGGCTCAAAAAGATCTACAAAACTGGATTTTGAACATAACAGATACGCCAGCAGTGACGTAATTGAATACGCCCATTAAGTGTATTCATCTAAATGATCTTAATCCGTTATATAATCTAGTTAACGGATAAACAATGACCAAAAATTATTTTAAATCCTATATATTTTAATACTGTGGTAATTGAACATTAGGTCTCCAAACTGTGCTACATAATATCTATATTTATATTTAAAACATTATTGATCAGTCTTTGAATATTAACAGTGAAAACCCATTGACATTGGTATTAAAAAAAAACAATTAGCTGTACAAATGTCAGATTGTTATTGAGGGAGTAAACATACATTTAATGTGATAATTTAAAATATGTTGGGTGTTAGAGGGTTTTGCTGTTTAGAAGTAACTAAAAGATTTCAGCGTTATTACTTACTACTAACTATCATTACATGTAGGTATTTAAGTTCTGAAAACAATTTTAAATTCTCTTCACTTTTCAAAGTATTAATTGTTGCATTTATATTAATTGAAAATTGTATCGACATGGTACAAAGCCGATATTATTTTGTATATTATTTAAGAAGAAATATTTAAGCAAACATTATTTTGTTACCTAACCATTATTGATGTATGATTGTTGTATAATAATATGTAACATTGTGTTGTAAATACTATTAGGGTTGCCTTGTTTTGTATAATTGAAACTGCTTTATTATCAGGGGTTAAAATGGGAAAAAATTCCAGAGTGAACTAATGTTTCCATATAGTTTTAAGCGTTCCATATATAATTTTATGTATGTCTAATGTATAAAATCCTAATTTGTTAAAGGGGGCACTTTTTAACCACCGTCAGAAATAGGGGGACTGAGTCCTGCGTGCCCTCGCCCCTCACTTTAACCCCTGTTTATTTTATACACCAAACTTTAAAACTGGTCAGTTGCTACATCAAAAGATACCAATTGGATCATACACGGTCATAGAGATCCAAATATTTTGGCAATTCCTGATAACATTTACATTTATTTTGTAATAGCATATAAGTGTTAAATAATTGTTAAACAGTTTTTTCAACAGCCAAATTGTTTTTTTTTTTTGTCAGTATGGTTAAAGTTCCTTCAGTTTTTGTTTTAATTAATTTCCTTTGTTTACTCTTATATTAATTTAACCTGAACTACTTATGATTATTTAATGTTGAAGTTGAATTTACAATTGTATCATTTTGTAATAACTGTTTACATCTATTCTAATTTTAATATGGTAAAGAGATCAAAATTTAACATCAAGTTAAAAGATTATTCATGTATTTATTTTTCCGTTTTACCAATCAATAAATTATATATTTTTCAGTTGTAAATTATATGTATGGTTATCAAATTCCTTACTGGTTTGATAATTACACTTATATTCAAGGAAAACAAACTGTTAGGACTCAAAATTGTGTTGACTCATTGTCTTAATCTAAAGAATTAAATACCAATTATAAATTAACTACAGTTGTAGATTTATAGGTCACATTCTGTTATCAATTATTGTAAAAAGGTCATAATCCAAAGATTGCAATTAATTGAACTGGCAGCACACATTTATAATAGTAATATTCAACAATGTAAAGTACCACAAGCACAGTTATTGTTAAGTATCTTCTTAGGTTAAGAACCAACAATTTGTCCAGAAGTTCATTATAATAAGCTTAATATACATTTTAAAAATAATTGTCATCTAGTTTTCTTATTTGAATAGTCAGATCAATATAACAAACAAACTAGAGTTTTGAGTAGTATGTAATCAGTCAATAGCCTTCAAGTTCAAATTATTATTTTAATTGTAGTGCATAGAATATATTTTGATGTGTATGTTTCAGAAATTTACTGAATCAACATGTACAAAGAAAAATACATTAGTTATATTTTCATTCTAATATATTACTTCTATATGAACATTATTGTTTCATCTTCTACAAATTATATTATACATTCTTTATAACTTATTCAAATTGTTAAAGTAATTGTACACAAAAACATAAGTTGTATAACTATCGCGTGAACAATTTTCTACACATACCCGAATTTAATAATAAAGAAATCAAAAATTTACATTAGCACATCCATATTTTAGTTATCTTTTATACTATGGTTGATAAAATCTTAACCTATTTAAGATAAAAAAGAACTTAATGAAGAAGTAAAAACACTCGCGGTTATTAAAAAATTCACAGGATGTCCCAAATAGGATGATTTAGGAAAAAAATTAATTAGTAATATTATATATTTAGAATACGAAAACTTTTTATTATCATTCTTAAATCTGATTTGCTTATTACATAATTAATTAATTTAAACATATGTATAATGTAGCGTCAGACAAGTTTAAATTAAAAAAAAAAAATCATATATTTACAAATTGATGAAATTTACCAAACACAATTTAGGTAGGAGCAATTAAATAGGGTGAGCCTAAAAATATTGTGAAAAACTAAAATTGCAACACTAAATTTATAATGTCAAAATGTTTGACTAAAACATCTTCACTCCTTTATGTTTCTTCAGACTTGACAAATGCTTCACATTACAATGTTATCCCTAGTCTTCAAAGAAAATTTCTTAAACTCTTTCCGCACCTTAGCAGAACAAATGAAAATACAAATACATAGTAATAATTAGTAAAGAAAAAAAGTGTTCCTATGAATGAAAAAAATTAATGAAGTCAATTAACTTAATAGTACTAATTGTCTTGTTACAAAGTGGTAATATTAAAGATAAAAAATTAATTTTGTGTTTGAAAAAAAAAAATTGGGCAATAAAAAAATTATGTATATTCTATTTCTTCACAAAACATTCCTGCGTTGATGATATTCCAGCTCATTTAGGTTTTATTACGACCTGTGTTCAAGATAACAAAAAAAAAAAAACAAAAAACGAAGAGCTTAATTATTAATTATAATAAGATATAAATCATAAATATACATATTGAAATATTAAATTTAAGTGTACTAATTTGTTATTGCCCTACCACTGTACCAAATAATAATTATCATCCTACATTTCTACCAGACGACCTTACGTCAGAAGTCTTCGATCTAAAATGTCAATATTTCTATCTATATCTATATATATATTTTATAATATTAGAAATATTATTTTGAATATATTTTAATCATTTTAGTATGATTAAGGCATGTCACTAACGCATGTGTAATTTAACGTGCATACTTATATTGAAAATTAATAAAAAACAATATCAGTGCTCAAAATTATATTAGTGAATACTGGCACAGAAATTATAAAACAAAAAATAAAATTTAACTTTTAAGGATCTTAAGAAAATTATCTTCTATACTTAAATATCAATTACTAACTATGCAAATGATCTTAATTTATTTGAAGTTATGTAATAGTATATACATAATATATAAGTAAAACAGATGGTCTCCAACTGGGTGGGGGAATACATTTTATATGATAGCAAGGCAATAACAAACTAGCACCAATTTAAGTACCCAATTTCATTAATCTAAAAATTTACTGTTTAAAAAGTAATATTAGATTTAGATTATTATTTACTTGATAATTTTTGAAGGAATAATAGTCATTTAATATTTTATAAAAAAAAATATATAGGGGGATTGCATTAGTAATTAAGTCTTTTTCAGATAATTTGTAATATTTATCAATACATTTACAATTTAAAGTACTTTTATACTTAGAGTAGTAATATAATTAAGTACTTTAAATTATAGGTAAACACAAGGAAAAAAATATCTGAGAAACACTTAATCCTATTAACAAAATCACCTTCTATACAATAAATACAAAATATTAATGAGTTTTCGCCACAAGAGATTATAACACATTCAATTTTTTATTTTAATATATATATACAAACATAATATATATATCATAGGTTTTCAGTAATTGTTAATCAGGTAATAATTTATTTTGTTGCTATAAATTTGTTAATTACAAAACCTTAACACCTAAAGTACATTTTATACCTGTAAAATATGTCACAAGACAAATTAAAAGATACAATTTGTCTGTCGTGTGATCATATTTTTGATAATTTGACTTCTCTAATCCAAAATAAAATAATAAGATTAGTTTGTGGGGAAGTAAAGGGAAATCAGTAGTCATTTAAAGTCATATAATTTCATAACTGATGTCAAACCTAACACCAACTAAATTACCCCTTCAAATAGTAATTGGACAATAAGAATTAACGCCATTAACTGTACACGGATATATTGGGACTTAGATGATCAAAACGAGACCTATTATAGAAAGTGGTTTAGGAAATTACTAAGAAAGAACTTCTTTTTCATGCATACATAAAAATTCGATATTTTTAAGTTATTATAAGCTATTGGGACGTTATTTTTTTAGAGGAAATTTACACCATTCTATAAATTTACCTCTGTAATTAGTGGCGATAAACTGTTAATTTTCTTGACAAACTTCAAGATCTTCATCAGTGTCTACCAATTTTCTACCTTTGGGTCATATTGTGAACATGGGTCTTCATGTGTTCTACTTTTGTAATTTGAAGAATCTTCTTTTAATAATTTTTTTTTTAATTTAAAAAAAAAAGTTTTAAAGTTATAGAAGTTCGAGAAGTCTTCAAGTCAATTTATATATATTATTATCTTGACAGTTTGAAATATTCTCTTTTCTTCGAATATGTTCTTCAGGAAATGAATAAAAAATTGAATATGTGAGAAATCTTGATTAAATACTTTGAAAGCTGAAAAACTGCATTAAGTAATTGATTATTTTTTAAACTTATATTCTTATATGAGAAAAACCCGAGAAAACGAAGAAAAAATAATGGGATAGCAAGAGTTAATAAAATAAGCTTAAAAAAACACTGGATCGCCGGATAGGGTACTAATATCGAACGTTTTGACTAAAAAAATATTTAAGACTTACGTGGAGAATAAGAACGTGAACGTGATCTATCGTAACGTGATCTGTTTTTGTAGTAGGATGGTGATCTGCGTTCTCTGTAGTGGCCTCCTCCACCACCGCCGCCACCACCACCTCCTCTACCACCACCGCCGCCGCCTCTGTATCCACCCTCATAGTAATCACTAAAAACAAATAATTGTTTATTACCATAATGTATATGTAAATTGTAATACAAATATGTATTATTTATTAAGAATATTAATTCAATTTAATAATATGAATAACTACTCACTCATAATCTCTATCTCTGTCATATCTATCATAACGTTCTCCACGGTCATATCGATCACCACGATCATATCGGTTATTATCATATCTATCATAACCTCTTCTTCTAGATGACCTTTCTTCTCTCATTCTAAAATTTTAAGACACAAAATAATAATTTTCAAGCACAAAATCAACAATGCTTATATAAAAAAATGTAATTACGTTGGTCTGCCCATATAAATGCCAGGTGTTGGCGTATGAGGACGTTGGGTAATTGAAAAATCTACTCGAATTCTACGGCCATCAATTTCCATGCCAGAGCATTCTTCTTTAGCTACCTTAGCATCTTCATGCTTTTTGAAATAGGCAAAACCAAAACCGCGAGACCTTCCACTCTGAAGTAAACATTGCAAATATTAAAATTGTACCAATTAATTCATTAATGATTAACTGCTTACTTTAGCATCAATAATAATAAGGATTTTGTCGATGGAACCATATTTTGCAAATATATCGTACAGTTGGTGTTCTGTAGTGTACACACTTAGGCCGAATATGCCTAGACATTTGTTAGGTTTTGGGTTTTCCTAAAACAAAAAACATTTCTTTAGATAAATGAAGCAAAGTGAGGTAAAATACTCGGGAAATTAATGGTGTTATTATGTAATTTACATGTCTGCTGCGTCTCGAGCCAGAGCCTCGAGAGTGGCTACGGTAACTGCGTCGACGATCTCCAGAATACGAACGGGACCGGGAACGTGACCTTGAGTACGAATGCCTCGAGCGGCTCTTATACTTGCTGCCATTGCGGCTGGGTGGCCGAGAAAGCGATCTAGAACGTGTCTTCGAGTGTGTGGGTGATCGACTGCGAGACTTGTGATCGCTCGGCGATCTGCTACGGCTTCGACTGGGAGAGATGGAACGGGATTTTGAATTCCCGTTGCGGTCCTGTAACAACAAAACAGACAGTCGTTAAGCATCGGTCTTATAAAGTAAATAAGCAGGGTGAGAGGCGAAGATGCGAGAACAATTGCGAGCATTAAATAATTGCTGTTAAAATATTCTTAACGCGACATAACCTCAATTACTGTCAAGAAAGAATTAATTGAATTCGCTATGAAAACGCGACACACACCGCCAATGGGACGGAGATACGGCGGTAACTTTAACTACAAATAGCATGGGCAGTAGTACCCTAAAGTTGTTACTCACCTCGACGTCACTCATTTTCGAAGCTCAATTCACGTGTCCGTCCGTCACCGAGTCAATTAAATCTCGTTCGGCACGAGATCAGTCGAAAATCCTCGACAATAGGTCGGATTAACGGAGGTGCCGCAAAAAATCGATACGACCGCGAGTACAAATTCAACAGCAAAAATATATTTTGCTCCCGCCGTGAGTGCAGGATCCAGGAAACGAAAAAAAGTATGGAACGGCAGAAGACAAAAATTGTAGTGAGACGCAGACGCTGAAAACTAATAAACAAAGCTTGTGAGCTAGGGGAAGTCCCCTCCGCCGCGCCACGCCATTGTCGCGGCGTCACCTTGTCAGTGTGACCAACGTGCGCGTTACTCCTTCCACTAGAGTACTAGACGTTAGCCAAACAAAACGCTCATCCAACGGCGTTATTCCGAAATTTATTGGTTCACCCTTCCTGAAATTTCCCCTTTAACCAATTGATTACGACAAGCGGGTGCCGGGGAAGGCCATTTATTGTGAGTTTATTTCCCGCCGTAAACACTCACACCGCAACCGAAACCGGCAAAACCCGTTTTAGCAGCGGCCCCATATCTAGCATACTAAAATATCTTTTTTAGTTAGTAGTTGGTGAGTGCTTGATCATGTTGGTCACACTCATCATTTTAGTAAATCGCTGGTCATGCTCTTTTCCCCTTGTCAGTTTCCTGTATTTACTATTTAGTATTTAGTATTTAGTGGCACCTAGAATACTACGAGCATAATTTAATATTCGTCCTTATAAGCGAACACCCGAAGTGATCGAAGTGACCCTTGCCAGTGTTTAAGTATCGAAACGTATCGAAATGGCAGGTGCTACCATGTTGGCGCGCATCAACAAGCCGTCCGACTTCGCCATGACGAAAGTCGAAACGGAACACGACAGGATTATGGCACGCGAGCAACTGATCCTCACGCAGGGTGAACTCTTAAAGAAAGAAGGTAAGGCCAAAGAACTGGCCGCCTTAATCAAGGAGACCAGGCCGTTTTTGTCCGAAATCAGTAAGGCGAAGGCAGCCAAACTAGTTCGGTCCCTGGTTGACCTCTTCCTGGACCTCGAAGCAGGCATCGGGATTGAATTGCAACTGTGCAAGGAGTGCATAGAATGGGCCAAGGAAGAGCGGCGAACATTTCTCAGGCAGTCGCTGGAGTCCCGGTTGATGGCCCTGTACTTCGATTCTGGAATGTTTTCTGAAGCGTTGCAACACGGCGCAGTACTGTTGAAAGAACTGAAGAAGTTGGATGATAAAAATTTGTTGGTCGACGTTTTATTATTGGAAAGCAAAGCTTATCATGCTCTGAACAACTTGTCCAAGGCTAGGGCTTCTCTTACTTCTGCTAGAACAACGGCAAACTCGATTTATTGCCCACCTAAAATGCAGTCTTCTCTTGACTTGCAATCAGGAATCTTACATGCAGCCGACGAGCAAGACTTTAAAACTGCTTATTCTTATTTCTATGAAGCTTTTGAAGGGTTTGACAGCGTGGACAGTACATCTAATGCACTTAAGGCATTGAAGTACATGCTTTTGTCAAAGATAATGTTAAATAATGCAGAAGATGTGCAACAGATTGTGAGCGGTAAATTAGCATTAAAATATACGGGTCGCGATGTAGAAGCAATGAAGAACATTGCAAGAGCTAGTCACAAAAGATCTTTAGCAGATTTTCAAATTGCGTTAAATGAATATAAAAAAGAATTGGAAGAAGATCCAATTGTCAGAGCACATTTAGATACACTTTATGGAAATATGTTGGAACAAAATCTGTGTAGAATCATTGAACCATACTCGAGGTAAATAACAATCTAAAAGATTTTAAACTACAAATTATAAAAAAAAAGAATTTCGGGGTACAAGAACTTATAATTTTCATTGTACATATTAATTTGGATGAATCATCACATTTTTAAAGAATACCTATTGTTTGTCATAACATTCATTATCATTACCAACTTCTTACTAAGTTTTGATTGCCTAGAGATTAAATATTTATTTTCTTAATTTAACAATAGGTATTTTTTGTCCATAGTTTGATTTAGTTGTTTTATTTCTGTATGTGATTACTTTTATTTTACTCGGGTTAATTCTTTTAAAACTTTATACTTTAGAGCCAGGGTCTCTAAACTACTGCCCACGGCCCGCAGTTTTAAATGGCCCTTCAAATGACAGTAGATAATCAAAAAATATATGTAATACCCAAAGTCGTTATCGCGCACACGTGTCAATTAACACAATCAGCTCTATCAAAATTTACAAGCTGAACGATTACATTTAAACAGTGATAGAGATTAACCACTTTGATAAATTTAATCAACCACATCAACATCTGTTCAGTTACCTTTATAACTATGTCTGCAGTGATTTTTGACCCACTAAGAGCTTTTGATATTTTATGTCGCCCTCGGATGAAAAAGTTTGGAGACTCCTGCTATAGAGTATAGTTTATGTAACAAAACTATTAACAGTGATTATTATTTTTTGTATTTTCAGAGTACAAGTTGAGTATGTTGCCAAATCAATAAATTTACCTATGGAAAATGTTGAACGAAAACTTTCACAGATGATATTGGACAAAAAATTCCATGGTATCTTAGACCAGGGTGAAGGCATTCTTATAGTATTTGAAGAAGCTGAAATCGACGAAACTTATGAATTAGTTTTAGATAATATAAATAGCATGAGCAAAGTCGTGGATACATTGTATCAGACTGCCAAAAAATTAACATAAAAAGTGAACTAACAAATTATATCCAAAATTAAAAAGTTAAAAATCTTTGTATTTCGAGTACATTATATTTCTTTTGGTTAATATTACTAAATAAATAAACTTGAGATGAAAAAAAAAATATAGTTCTATTTATTTTCATTTAGATAACTGGATTTTAGGGATAATATTAGGATCAGTAATTAGTCATCAAAATGTATGTATGGGCTTAATTTTTACAACTTGTATTTTATAAATTTATAATCAACAGTTTATTTTCTTTGTAAATAAAATTATGTACATTGATGCAATGATTAATAATAACTACTAATCATTATTATACTTGTTTTCATTACTTATTATTTTATAAGAATAAAAATGTATGTCTTATTTTTTGTTCAATATTAATTTAATTAACATTACATATTTTCTATTTCTTATTGATGCATTCAACCTTAGCTAAACATTTCAATTCATGTCAGCTTTTAATAATTGTTGGAGAATATATAAGATAATTAAAATTAGTTAAATACGTTATTGTTAAATACAAATTTAAACTCAACGAGTACAATATTGCTCAATGCCTTTATTTCCATTCATAAAAAATATCCTATAGTAATACATCAAATCGACAAGGAAAAAAAACATTTATATTTTTAAATTATAAAGATGATCATCAAAATGAGGTGCAGATTGTTTTTAATTTGTTTATGTCAATGAATTACCAATGTTCATCGTATTATTTTTTATGTTATATAAAATATCGTTTTCTCTTTTTAATTTCCTTTTGATCTTATTTTTTTCCGTTTTTATTCTCTTTTTTCTTAGTAGTTGTTCATTTTCATAATTCTCCTTGGATTTCCTATCTTTATTGAATTTGTTCACTTGTTCGCCTAAACATTTTTAAAATGTTAGCTTTAAATATCCATAAATATTGAAATATTACATACTTATCATTTGGATATCTAATTCTTCAGGATTTGGCCTGAACATGCACGGTGCAACTTTAAAGTATTTATGAATTGGACATAATATTTTCCAGTCTATAGGATTCCAAACCAATGAATCAGAAACTTCAGTCTGTTGTAGAACAAAATACATGTTCAATAAATTGAAACCACCATACCTAAAGTAATAATAATTTTGTTAAAAATATAAGCATGATGCTTAATTAATTTTGTTTGATTACTCTGATGACTGGTAAACGTCAACGTGGAATGGTTTTTTAGGATTGTGTAGCAGTACATATTCTCCTTTGCCTAATTGTGTGAGTTTTTCTAGGGTTAGATATAATCTTTGTAGGTATATTTGGTCTAAACCTCCGGCTCAGAGGAACGAAGTCCCTGAAGTCCCGCCAACCGATCAACCCGAGCACTCAGGAAACCGATCCGTCGAACATGAAGAAGTCCCCTTCACTCTGGTCCAGAAGGTAACCAAGAAGCCGCCTGCCCCGAGACCGCAGCAAATCAGGAAAATCGTCCAGAGACCAGCCGCCGTGCTCGTCAAGGTCCCCGAAGGCAAGTCCTACGCAGACACCCTGCGCCAAGTCAGGGGCACCGAAATAGACTTCGAAGGCCTCGGAACCCACGTGACTTCAATGAGGAGAACGCTCAAAGGCGACCTGCTCGTCGAGCTGACCAAGGGCGCAAAGGCCACTGCCGCCACCTCAGCCATCCGCGACAAGCTCGCCGAAAACATGGCAGGAGCCGTGGTCACCAGGCTCCGGCACACCGCCGAAATTGAAATAACCGACCTCGACGAGGTCACCACCAGAGAAGAGGTCCTCGCCGCGATTCTGAAGAGCGCGCCGGACGGCCAACCCCTCTCTGAAGATGAGGTCAAGGTAACCGGCCTGTGGGCCACGCGGGACAGCCGTCAAATGGCCACTGCAACAGTGCCCATCGCCATCGGTCGGAGTCTGACATCCGTCCGCGTCGGCTGGACTCAGTGCCGGGTCCGCCCGCGCAGACCGGAGCCGGCAAAGTGCTACCGCTGCCACGGCTACGGACACGCCACGCGGCAGTGCACCGGCGATGACCTCTCTCACGCCTGCCGAAGATGCGGACAGAACGGACACACCGAGGCCACATGCACCGAGGGCGCGGACCTGTGCGTCGCCTGCGACCGCATCAAGGCCCCACGCGTGCCGCACAAGCCCGGCTCCGGGGCTTGCGCCGCCCGAAGGAAAGCCATCTCAGAGATGAACTCCATAAAGAACCGAACATGATGCACATCATACAGATAAACTTACAACGGAGTGCCACCGCCCAGAGCCTTCTGCAGCAGACTTCGGCCGAAAGGAGAGCCCACGTCCTCCTTGTTTCCGAACAAAACTGGAGTCCAGCACGCGACGACAGATGGACAGTCAGCAACGATCACTCCTGCGCAGTCGTCCTCACGGCTTCAGCGGACTTCGTCCCCGAATCCAAAGGGTCCGGATCGGGCTTCGCCTGGATCCAGGGACGCGGGCTAAGGATATACAGCTGCTACACCTCCCGCAACGTCTCCAATGAACAGTTTGCAACATTTCTCGATGACATCCACCAGTCCGTGCGCGAATGCGACGCCCGAACTCACGTGCTGATCGGCGGCGACTTCAACGCTTGGTCTCAGGAGTGGGGCTCGGCGCGCAACGACCGGAGGGGCGAGCAGCTGGCCGACCTCGCTGCCAGTCTTGGGCTGAGCGTCGAGAACACCGGCGACACGGGCACCTACCGGCGGATCAATGCAGAGACGATCATCGATATCACGTTCTCACGCCTCGTTGCACCCGCCGCCATACGCGGATGGAGAGTCCTGGAAGACGTGGAGTCAGCCAGCGATCACCGCTACATCGAGTTTACCATCGACCCGACTCCCGACGTGGACGATACTGGGGGCAACCATGCAATAGGTTGGTCATTCCGTCAGCTGGACCCAGTCGCTCTAGCCACTCACCTGGCTAACACGGCTCAACCCGACGTCAACGACACTACCACCGCATCTCAGGCAGCCGATCAACTGATCGAATACCTGGAGGCGGCCTGTAATTCCTGCATGCCCCCTAGGGTCCCTCGCAGAGCAGGCAGAAACGAAGCTCACTGGTGGTCAAGGGATCTGGCCGCGCACCGACATACCACGATCAAGCTACGAAGAGCGCTCCAACGGTCCGCTCGGAGGCACGAAAATCAAGACCTGATAGACGCCCACCGCTTGGCTTACTCGGAAAAGCGCAAAGAACTACGCAACGCCATCCGCGACGCCCAGGCCAAGAGCTGGGCCGAGCTGTGCAAAGCCGTCGACGACGACCCTTGGGGCCTACCTTACAGGGTGGTGACCAAGAAGATCGGCCGCCGCCGCCCTGGCGTCGAAGCGCGCGGCAGGGAGGACTCGATTGCCAATCACCTCTTTCCGGAACCTCCAGCAACCGAATGGTCACTCGAGCAACCTCTGATCGACGACCCCTGCGATCCGCAAGCACACCTGTTTACACTCGATGAGCTGCGAGAAGCGTGCACACGGCTGCCGGCGGGCAAAGCCACGGGTCCAGACGGGATTCCCAACGAGGTCCTCCTCCGGGTCTCCAAAACCGCCCCACAAGCTCTTCTGAACACCTACAACTGCTGCCTGCTCAGGAACGAATTTCCTGCACGATGGAAGACCGCCAGGCTCGTCCTTCTCCACAAGGGACCTGGAAAGCCGATCCTCGAGCCATCGAGCTACAGGCCACTATGCATGCTCAACTCCGCGGCCAAGCTCCTGGAGCGACTGTTGCTGACGAGACTCAACCTGCACCTCGACTCGACCGGACAAAGGTCCGAGAACCAGTACGGGTTTCGGCAAGGACGATCCACCGACGACGCAATCGATCGCGTAATCAGCGCAGCCCGGGGAGCCGCATCGGGCGCAGTCCAACACCGCGACCTGTGCGTAGTCGTATCCCTCGACGTGCGCAATGCGTTCAACACCGCCCCGTGGCCTCGGATCGACGCCGCTCTCCGCGAAAGGCTGGTCCCATCCCACCTGAACCGCATGATACGATCCTATCTGGAGAACAGGACCCTCCTCGTCGGAGAGGCACAAACAGCGAGGAGCGTTACGTGCGGGGTCCCACAGGGTTCGGTACTCGGTCCTGCCTTATGGAACGTGTTCTACGAAGAACTACTTGACACCGACATGCAACCCGGAGTTCAACTGGTGGCATTCGCCGACGACGTGGCCGTCATCGGAACCTCTCGGACCGGAGCATCCGCAGCAGAACTGTTGAACCCAGCGCTGAGCACCGTCTCGAATTGGATGCGCGAAAACGGTCTCACGATAGCTCCCCAAAAGTCTGAGGCCGTCGTTCTGACCAGGAAATACAAATTCGACGACCCCCAACTGTACGTGGAGGGACACGCCATACCGGTGAAGCCAGTCATTCGATATCTGGGGGTGGAGTTGGACACCCGCCTGTCGTTCACGGCACACATAGCCACAGCGTCGAGAAAGGCCTCGGATTCGGCTAAAGCCATCGGACGTCTGATGCCCAACGTAGGGGGCCCGACCCAGGCAAAACGGGCTCTGCTGGGGTCTGTGACCAACAGCAAGCTGCTCTACGCGTCCCCAACCTGGGCCAAAGCCGGCATCAAGACAGCGAAAAATCGAAACGAGATGGCCAGGGCGCAGAGGACCACGGCACTCCGCACCATCAGAGGCTACCGAACGATCTCCGCCGACGCGTCCTCCGTACTGTCGTGCATGCTGCCGGCCGACCTCCTCGCCCACGAACGGGCAAGAGTCAAGACCCGTCTAGAAGATGAGGGAGAATTAACATCGACCTCCACTATAAGGAAAGGAGAAAGAGCAATCTCTACATCGTCTTGGCAATCCAGATGGGATCGGGCCGCAGCCGGTCCTGACGCAGTCGGACGCAGATGGACCCACCGGCTTCTGCCCGACATCGCACGCTGGATTGCGAAGCCTGCTATGAGCCTCACATACCGCATGACGCAGGCCCTGTCTGCACACGGTTGTTTCCGCAGCTACCTGCTAAGATTCAAACGCGCCGTGGACAGCTACTGCGTGTATTGCATGAACCCCGAAGACACGGCAGAGCACACCCTCTTCGCTTGCCCCAGGTGGGAGGACGAGCGTGCTGTCCTGACCAGGATCTTAAGACGCCCACCAGAGCCCGGGGACGTTCAGGAACTCCTGTGTGGACCTAGGGCCGACGAACTACCTGACGATCTGACAGCCCGGTCAAGGATCGTAGAACAGGCAAAGACCAACAGACGTGAGTTTATGGCGATGGTGGAAAAAATCATGTGCTCCAAAGAAGATGATGAAAGGGAGGAACAGTTGTACGACTGACGACAGCGCACTCAGTCTGAAGCTGGATCAGGATGAACAACTGGACAGACACTCACACCACTCGCTACCGCGAGTCGTCGGAGGTGTCACCGACCACGTTGTTCATCCCCCACCCGTGACACCACGGGCGGGACGACGATCACGGCATCGCTGGACACCTAGAGAACGAGGTTTCAAGGGCGGCGGACTCCGGTCGGCCCGCCAATAGGAGTAGCAGCACGAGAGAACCAGGGCGGCGGACTCCGGTCGGCCCGCCAAAAGGTGTACGCCTCAACAACTGCTGATAATGTAAAATGTAATATGCTATGTACTGTCATGTTTAGAGGGGGGGTAAGTCGGGGAAGTGTCCCGTCTACCCCTCCCGTATGTATAATTATTTGTCTTTATTATTTCAAATAAACGATGGCGGCGTCGCGGAAGCATTGCGAAAGCAGTTCCCGCGACGTCGTCGGTTCAAACCCGAAAAAAAAAAAAAAAAAAAAAAGGTATATTTGGTCTTCGCCATTGGAACTTAAACTCTCTACTTCTTCAATTGTCCATTTCACCTGCATCAAGTCCATATTGTGGTGTTGTACTGAGACTATGAGCAAAAACAGTGTTCTATTATTATAACCTACATTGGTTTAGCTTATTATCGATGGCACTAAATCATTTTTGATTTGTATTCTCAAAATAAAATATTTCACCCAGACAAGCGCCAGGCAAATTATTCTATTGTATGTAAGACAAATCATTATAATTATGTGAATAATTCAAGTGCAATACCTAATGCTAATTTGGTTTTGGAACATCTGAAGCTTGTATCCAGCCAATATTCGACAAGCTGTTCTTCACTGACTTTTTCAAAGCCAAATTCTGGTTGATACTCAACCTTAGGTATTATTACTACTGGGGTATCGTGCGGTTTTATCTGTTGCTAAATATATAAAATTATTTATATCGTATACACTAAACAGATATTTAACTAAATAATGACTTATTCTTACTTGTATGCCATGGGGTTTATTTCTTACAAGTAAATTGAACGATTTGTCAACACCATTGACATCGCTGACTTTTAACATCCATTTATCATAGTTGTAATTATTATAATCGCCCTGAACAGCTTCAATAGGTGAGCTACGAAAAAAAATATTAAATTGAGTTGCGATGATAAAATTATAAGATTATCAATAATTTAAATTTCAGGAAAATAAAGACAATTTGTATGGTTTACTTAAAAATAATATAAGATATTTAAATTATTAAAAAAAAAGAGAATTTGATTCTTTCAAAAATATGGTATATCTTACGGTTTTTTAAATTTTTTTTTCAATTCTTTTCTTAGATAGTACCAACTTTTTTCTTGTTGAGAGAAATGTCCTGTACATAATGCTCCTCCAACATAAATTGTTTTACGCTCATCAGTATCTAAAAAAAAAAACTTATTTGTTTTTTATAGTCTTTATTAAAATAACACAATGATTACCAATATCTACATTGACAGGAATTATCCACAAACTATTGGGTTTCTCTAGATTCATAATACTTTTTATACTACTTAAACATATGTTAACATCAATATCATTTGTTGTTGACAGTGTACGACAACATTCATCTTCCACAACTGTAAATAACACAGTATTAAATTATTTTGGACATCACACAAGAAACAATACAGTTACAAAAACTGTAACTGCAGTCAAATTTCTAATATGTACCACATAAGTAACATAATTGAAAGCAGAAACAAAATTGTTTTAGAGCCGCAAAACTAGATATCTTTATCAGTGTGAATGCTAGTAACTTTTATGTAGCCCTCTCAACATTTAATTTTTAAATTATCAGTTTGGTCGATATCAAAATCACACTTTAACACAGACCATGAGCAATATGTCAGTAGATATAGATTAAGAAGACATCAAATCAGTTTGTGTTTGTTTTTATCTTACAAACATGTAACAGAAAATTTGCATTCAGTAGAACCAATTTTGCATTATCAACTTTAATATTACAGTGAATTTAACTATTATAAAATGTAGAGATCAGAATATTATAATATTCCTTGAGCATTTTAAAATTGAAATATTTTACAGTTGTAACTCACTTTATAATACAAATTTCGATCCAAGCCAACATGACCCCCTAGATAATAAATCAATTAACTGTAATTAAAGTTAATAAGACACAATTGGTTTTGCTGCTGGCATGCCACTAAAATTTTTCTTCTGGAAGTGCTGAGTGGAGCATTTTGAACTTGGGCTAGAGTTTTTAGAACAACTATACAGTGATTACTCCGATAAATAATTTAATTTATTTTAACATAGTATAGATATATAGAAGCACACATATAGCTTTTTATATTTTAAGTTCTAAATAGATATGTATGAACTTTTAAATAATTAACAATGTTTTGATAATATTACCTATAGTCCTACACTTACAACAGATAAAACTGACTTTTAGAATAACTTTTGTTCTAATCAATATTTAAAAAAATTTTTATATATTATATTATTTATAGCAACTTGTGCTACACGTGTAATAAAAAAAATTAATTTTACACTGACAAAATCACATTTAGCTCTTCCAGTTTAAAAATTAGAGTGAATTTACCTCTTACAGAATTTAAAGGTAAGATCCAGGCATCTTGTAGGCATTTTACTATATTTTAATTTTAATGTGAGTTATGAGTATTTTAAGCCTATGAAGTGCTCCAGATAATAATCTTACCTTTAAATTTTATAAGAGGTCAATTCACTGTAACTTTTAAATTAACAGAGCTAAACGTGAACTGCTGGGTGTAAAATTTGCTATGTTACGCACTTGTAAGACAGACACGACAAATTTTTGTGTAGCATCCTCTTAAGAGGATGTCAGCGCACTATTTGTTTTCTCTCTCTGACCCACGCGCAACATAGACAAAACACATTTACACAGAAACATTTTTTCTATGTTTTTAAGTAATCTTAGAGTAAAATCACCCATTACAAAAAAGATAGAGAATAATATTTTTGAGGGAATGTCATATCAATTTGTCTAAATATTGTCTCAAAACAATTTAAACATCATTTTAATGTACAACTTTTTTTGTTTATTTTGAAAGTCGAATACAAAGTCAAATAACAATAAAATATAAAATCGATATGACATTCCCTCAAAAATAGTATTCTCTATCTTTTTTGTAATAAGTGATTTTACTCTAAGATTACTTAAAACATAGAAAAAATGATTCTGCGTTCATGCGTTTTGTCTATGCTGCGCGTGGGCCAGAGAGAGAAAACAAATAGTGCGCTGACATCCTCTTAGCAATGATGTACACATTTGACAATTTTATTTTTACTTTTATAACACACTTTTTTGTGATTGAATGGTTACGCCACATTTAAATTTTATTTCATAAATATAAGTTCAAATGATTTAGTTTACAATTTAGTATGAGCAGGTGAAATTGACTGACAAAATTTTAGGCAATGATTTTGGGTAGGTACCTATTTTTATTTTCATTTTATGATTAATACTTAGTATTACTGTATTAGTATTTAGAAAATGCAATTATAAATTAATGAAAACGTTATTCTTTTTAGATTCTGAGTGGAACGATGAATGTATTGATTTTACAATGATGTGTGTTTATTTATTTTTTTTTTATTTTTTTTGTATCTGTGTACACGATAAGTAGTCGAAATAATGCTTCGATTTTCGACTTCAGTATCTTGTTCGATTGGAAAGTGAATATCGTTGGTGCATTGGGGAGGTCAAAATTTAAAATTCCCAGTACTTTTCAAAAGCGCCAAGAAAAACAAAAGAAAAATTAAGGAAAAACGGGAATTTTTACGCAAAATCGATTTTTCAGAAAATTGAATTTGGTTTTTGATGTAACTTTAAAACAAATGACCGTAGGTACATGCAATTTTCACTGGTTGTTTATATTTGCATTTTCTATACACTATAACATTTTCAAAATATTTTGATTTATTTTGAACTGTTTAGGGACATTTTCATTTTCCATTTTTTTTTAGTTTTTTTCTAGAAATATCAATAAAATTTTATTTGTTGGTTTCGAAAGCTTGAAAATTTAATAGAAGGCTCCTAGTATATTGTTTCAAAGGCAGATGAAAAATATTAAAAATCCTTAGTCACAATTTTTGTTTATCAGTATTTAAAGTTCAAAAATTGACAAAATATGGAAAAATCACAAAAATTAGCAAATTATTTTGAGTTAAGAATTTGTAAAAATTTTTCTTTTTAAACTTAAGATTTGAAAATGAAATACAAGATTACTCATAAGATTGTCTACCTTTATCAATAAAAAAATATCTACCAGTAAGTCAAATTACATTTTTATGAGCGTTTGAAATTCAAATTTTTACAACATTGGATATTCACTCGATTACTCATGTAGCGATTTCTTTATTTTGTTGCAATTCAAAAACGAACAACTGTAGATACATGAAAATTTCACTGAATGTTTAAATTAGCATTTTCTATACACCATACAATTTTGAAAATATTTTGACTCTTTTTGAGCTGTTTATGGACATTTACAGCTTTCAATTTTTTTTAGTTTTTTTTTCTTTGAATATCAATAAAGTTTTATCTGTTGGGCCAAAAAGTGTAAAAATTTAATACAAGGCTCCTGATATATTGTTACAATATCAGTTGAAAAATATTAAAAATACATAGGCACAATTTTTTTTTATAAGCATTTAAACATCGAATTTTGACAGAATTTTTCAAAATCTCAAAATTTATTAATCATCGTAATTAATAAGTTATAAAATGTTCAGTTTTTATAGCTAAGGATTGAAAATTTAAAACAAGATTCCACTAAGTAGTTAATTATCTTACCGAAAAATCTAAAAAATATACAATCACAGTTTATTTTTATAGTCATTTTATGTTCAAATTTGGACGAAATTTCATATTAAAAAACCTAGTTATTTTGTTGTGATTATATAATATTATTCGTGGGTACGGGGTACCTACTTGAAACTACTAAAGTGTATTATTATATATCGATGATAGTATCAGGGTTTGTTATTGATGTTGATGTATAACGTGTTATAAGTATCTAATGGATATTGTGATAATGTGATATGATTAATTTGGAATTTATTATAGGTCAATTTTTTTTTAATACCATAGATTTGTATATAATTTATCTTAAACCTAGACTGACATACCGTCTTCGCTCAGAATCGTTTTTCTTATACAATGATATTATATCATTGAATTCAAATTTAATAGCATCCATTATACAGTGACCCACTTGTAACCTACTGTACAGCAGAGCGACATCCACTTACCCACCTTTTTTTACAAATAAAAATAAAAAAATACTTTTTGAAAATGTAGAAAACAATATTATCATTGTTTAAAAATAATAATTGATAAAATTAATAAATTACAATTATAAAAAATTACATGTGAAGTTCTGTTACATTTTTCAGTGGGTGGACTGGACCATTTTTAGAAGGGACCTAAAAGCCCTCCTTGGTTCCCCTTAGCATCGTGCCTGTCTTGCTGAACACACACGGAAGTGAAGTCTTCCAAAATCATAACAGAGTACTATATTTAAAATTTAACCAATCGGCCCAAAACATTGGAAAAAAAATTCAATAATGGTATGGTTATATTTATTTAATATTTATAAATTAAACATATTTAAACAATGCTGTCATCTTTTGAGTAGATAAGAAAAATAAATTTTATTTTTATACCTACCTTATTAATCATTTAAATTTAAATTTAAATAAATTGAATTCTATAAAATAAGAAATTTAATTAAATTCTTATGAATAATTTTAATAAAATCTAAATAGTGAAAATACCTACCAAAAAAAATATTATAATAGAAGAACTAGCGGGCTACCTATAACTTATTAGTCATTACTATTAGTCTATTATAGAGTTGATACTTACGAGGAATTTTTTGAGGTGGAGTAAACACACCATCTTTAAAAGAAATTTTTGATTCTAGATTTCCAATATCAATTACCATGGGAAGATTAATTAATGTACCATTTTTACCCTAGATATTAAAAAAAAAAAAATTATAATTAATAATAATAATAAGAATGAATGATTATTGGTTTAATGAAAAGTAATTATTATTTCATACAGTCTGTACTCTTTTACAATATAACATTTCAACTTTATTCACTTCAACTTCATCTCTTATATTATAGTCGATCTTCATCTTTGAACTATATGTACCACCATAGTGTGATTTAATATAACCATTTGAAAACTAAAAAATACAATTACATTTTAATTATTTTACATGAATAGTAAATATCAAATGGTATATCTTAAACTTTTATAATTTGTATTGATTTCTCACATTACAAGCAGATTTAATGTAATTCTCAATGAACGGAATAGCATTTAGTCGACGATTTTTCAAATTTTCTTCCCAAAGATTTGAGAGCCAATGATTAAACATTTCTCGTTCATGTTCAATAATTTCTTTATGCATCTAAACATTTATAATAAAATTGCAATTATAACAAATTAATAAAATTAAAATTAAATCCATACATGGTTTATGTAATTGAAGTACTTAAACTGTAAATAGATAACTGTATAAAATAATTTTAAATTGAAAACTTGTGGGTCTATTATTTTTGTACTTATAAAAATTTAGAAATATTCAAATTTTTATTTTAACAAATTATTTATTTCAACCACATTGTTATCATTAGCAGCAAATACTGAAATACAGACATCAAAATGCTATCTTTATATAACTTTACTCGTTAACACTATGTTTGGCGTCACTGAAGCTCAAGAACAAATCTCAAGTGAAGCAAATGCCCGCTTGTGATAGGCGGAATTGCTAAAATAAAAGTAAAAAAGTTGTGGATTTCCAGGTTTTTATTAAAATATATTATATAATAAAATATACTAACCCTCAGAATTTTAGCAGTAGGAGCATTAGGTTTGAATAAGTGCATTACATATTTATCCATAAGTGTATGATTTAATACTGAATAATATGGTGGCACATGATGCCCAAATAAAAATTGTGTAGTAATTTGAAGTTTGTTATCATTATTCTGAAACAATTATTGATTAATTAAACTGTTTGACAATATGCAAGTAATATACTAATATAATTTGTCAATATATTTTATTTTTAAATAAATGTAAAATGATAAATAAGAACCAAAAATGTATGGTATGCAACTGCGGCAAACCTAATTAAAAATAACCAGTGCAATATTTTTAGCATATAAACATGATAAACTTTATGTTTTGTTTGGGTTCTAGTATTGTATGTAATTTTCCCAAATAGGGGATCTCCTAATAAAAAAAATGTTGATGTATATTATGGTCTATACCAACGGTTCTTAAACAGTTGGAGATCACTGATCACAAACCACTGATGAGTGATGGAAGACTTTTAGAAATCGCCAACCCTCTACCAATTTTCATTTGAATACATAATTTTTTTTTTTTAATATTTCAGGTTATCATAATCAATATTTTAATACTTATTTTATATTACAAATCACATATGTAGGTACATAAAAACGCGCGCATTTATAATTATTTCTATTACACATAATTTTTCATAAAATAGTAATACTTTAGTTTTAGATATAGCCTGAGATGAGTATTCAAGGACCACCGTTTAAGAATTACTGGTCTATATAAATCAGGAATCATGTAGTTATTTATTTTTTTTAGCCCATGAACAGTTGCACATTTTGTTATTTTGGTTAACTGTGAAATTGTATCAATAATGGAGAACTTTGGAATAATAAACATTTTAAATATAATGTAATAACCAGTATTATTAACCTAACCTAACAACAAAAATTGCAAAGTAAACGTAAAACATATTTGTATTATAAAACAATTAAAATTATATACATAAATAAAAAAAGGTGGGCAAGTGGGTGTCGCTCTGCTGTACAGTAGGTTCCAAGTGGGTCACTGTATAATGGATGGTATTTTACATTTGAATTCAATGATATTATATCATTGTATAAGAAAAACGATTCTGAGCGGAGATGGTATGTCCTTCTAGGTATAAGACATATTATATACTTATCTATGGTATTAAAAAAAATTGACCTATAATGAATTCCAAATTATTCATATCACAATATCCATTAGGTACTTATAACGCGTTACCTATACACCAACAACAAACCCTGATACTACCATAGATATATAGTAGTATACTTTAGAAGTTTCATGTACCCACGAATAATATTATACAATCACAACAAAATAACTAAAATAGTTATTCTTGGTTTTTTATTATGTAATTTCGTCCAAATTTGAATTTAAAATGTATGTAAAAAATAACTGTGTTCATATATTTTTTAGATATTTTGGTTACAGTATGAACTATTTATGAGAACTTTTGTTTTAAATTTGCAATCCTTAGCTATAAAAACTGAACATTTTATAATTTATTAATTACAATGATTGATCATTTTCGAGATTTTGATAAATTTTGTCAAAATTCGATCTTTAAATGCTTATAAAAAAAAATTGTGCCTATGTATTTTAATTATTTTTCAATTGCTATTGTAACAATATATCAGGAGCCTTGTATTAAATTTTTACACTTTTTGGCCCAATAGATAAAACTCTATTGATATTTATAGAAAAAAAAACTAAAAAAACTGAAAACTAAAAATATCCGTAAACAGCTCAAAATGAGTCAAAATATTTTGTTAAATATTACATTCAGTGAAGTTTTCATGTATCTATAGTTATTCGTTTTTGAATTACAACAAAATAAGGAAATCGCTACATAAGAAATCAAGTGAATATCCAATGTTGTAAAAATTTGAATTTCAAACGCTCATAAAAATGTAATTTGACTTACTGGTAGATATTTTTTTATTGATAAAGGTAGACAATCTTATGAGTAATCTTGTATTTCATTTTCAAATCTTAAGTTTAAAAAGAAAAATTTTTACAAATTCTTAACTCAAAATAATTTGCTAATTTTTGTGATTTTTCCATATTTTGTCAATTTTTGAACTTTAAATACTGATAAACAAAAATTGTGACTAAGGATTTTTAATATTTTTCATCTGCCTTTGAAACAATATACTAGGAGCCTTCTATTAAATTTTCAAGCTTTCGAAACCAACAAATAAAATTTTATTGATATTTCTAGAAAAAAACTAAAAAAAAATGGAAAATGAAAATGTCCCTAAACAGTTCAAAATAAATCAAAATATTTTGAAAATGTTATAGTGTATAGAAAATGCAAATATAAACAACCAGTGAAAATTGCATGTATTTACGGTCATTTGTTTTAAAGTTACACGAAAAACCAAATTCAATTTTGTGAAAAATCGATTTTGCGTAAAAATTCCCGTTTTTCCTTAATTTTTCTTCTGTTTTTCTTAGCGCTTTTGAAAATTACTGGGAATTTTAAATTTTTACCTCTCTAATGCACCAACAATATTCACTTTCGAATCGAACAAGATACTGAAGTTGATAATCAAAGCATTATTTCGACTACTTATCGTGTAAACAGACACAAAAATTAAAATTAAAAAATTAAAAAAATAAATATTAAAACACGCATCATTGTAAAATCAATACATTCATCGTTCCACTCAGAATCTAAAATCTGTACTAAAATTGATTTGAATAATAATATGTTATATTGCACACCATCTAATACATATCTCAAAATATTAAGTGAAATGATTTTAAACAGTCATTTAATTTACTTAAGACTTGTAATAACATATAATATGTTAAACAATTTAACCAAAATAAAAAATTATAAACATTGTTATTAGTTATAATAATTAAGTACCTAACAATATATAAAATGTTGATTAAGTTAGTTATGCTTATAACAATGGTTACCTATAATCTTTAAAGAGTTTAAAGCATAATACGTTTAAAATTTGAATGGTACTACATAAAATAATTTTTATAAAATAGAATTGTGACTGTCATATTATAGTCCTACTAGTAAATTTATGAATATAGTATGCGGTCGGACGGAAATTTACAAATATAGTAAAAGAAATAAAAAATTCTTTAAAATATAATAGTATCATTCCACAAAAATAAAATAAAAAGCTGTTTAAGTTGTTTAACATATCTTTCGTACTGTAAAACTGTTTTATCTTTGCCCATATATCACTTAAGTTGGTAGATAACTTATGTTTTTTTTTCTAATAGATCACATACAACAATAGTAGATATTAATTGTATTACTATTATTTATATAAATTTAAATATTTAATCATTTCTGCAGAACTAAAAACTTAAGCACTTATTAGGTACATACTTTTGAATTTCGTTTTATTTTCTTCGCTTTATTGCTTTTTTTATTGTTAACTTCAGGATAATTTTGAAAACATTGAGCATTTTGAAAACATTGAGCATTTTGATACAAATCATTTATATCATATAACGGTGTAGCAATCCTACACATTAAATAATTAAAATTAAAATATATAACTTTATAAATACTAAAAAATATTACTCAGGATCAAATTTTGGAGGAACATTATTTTGCATAAATTGTTGATCAAAATTTGGTTTTTGATACCTTGGTTGGTCTTGCATATCATTTGGAATCGACAACCTGAATAATTAAACAAGTAAAAATTAGTTTCAAATCTATGATTAAAAACCAAATACTTACATGGTGTATTTGAAAAATTTAACAAGTAGTTCACAACAGTAGCATATTATACGCTACCTATATATAGGTACATCTGGTAATATATTCTTTACTCTATGGCCTATGGGTAATAGTAATGTCATTATTATTTTATTTTAAAGATCACATTGACGAGTTATTAGTTGTATACATCAAATATTAAACGACTTTGATTTTCAACTAAACAATTAACAAGTTACAAAACTGAAAACAAAAATCGTAATGAATAGAAATATAGAATATTAAAATTTAGAATACAATACTTATCAACCTCCTAACACAGACTATATGAAAATAGCATAGATATAAAATATTTTATATCTGTGGAAAATGGGATATCACTATTACCACGATCAACTACAGTTACGATATGATACTACTCCGAATTTATATTTTAATAGGCATTCGTGCATATGCTTCGAACATAAATTACTTCGACTATCAATTTCTACGATAATGCATTACCACGATGATACCTTACTACGATAATAAGTAGTGATTAACCCGCCACACAACTATTGATAATACTATAATCACGAATTAAAATTCTTACTGGCAATTTTGTCATGGATGGTATGGTCACAGATTATAATATGGTTATACCACAGACTGTGTAAAGTACTAAAGTTTTGGACCATGATTAATTTGGTTAATTAACTAGTCATGTTTATTGTTTTGGACAATATTATGTAATAAGTAATAACTAATGAAGTATTGAACCATCCACAATCAAAAATTTCAATTTTTAGTATTTGAGCAATTTATATTTTCTTCGTATTAACTCATAGGAGTTGGGAAACAGGACTTTGAACTTGGAAGTCTTTACTTCTGTAGTATTAGGACGTGTTAGTGTATGGCTGTCAATTGTATCTGTAAGATCGTGATGCAAGATAATCTGGTAAGTTACATCTGATTACTCATTGCTTTAGGATTTTGGAAAATCAACGTACATAAAATATAGGTTACTGATTATACAATGACATCCATGTATTAGAATAAATTCATGTAGGCAATACTAGATATTATGAATTTAAAGTTTAAACATGTGTTTTCACTTATGTATGGACTATGGTCAATAAGATGATCCAATGGTTCAATATTCCTTACATTATTATGAATTGATTACAAAATTTAAGTATATTTTTATTTTGTTATTTTATATGTTGGCGTTTTGAGAAAAACAACTGTATATTTTACACATAATGTTGATTGTACTTAGTAAATGGGTACTTACTACATAGGTACTACAAAAAATATAATTCAAATTTCTATTACATTGTTTTATTTCAAAAACATACTATTTTACTTAAG